GCAAATAGCGCTAATATACAATATCTAATTACAAAAGCTTGCCAGTACATTTTGGCTACGTTTTATTCACAGTCTGTGCATGTTTTCCATGAGTAAGACTGGATGAGCTTAGCATGACAGAAATTTGTTCTGGTAATGGACATGCAATTAATAGAAGTTCTTCTGAATTATAATATTTACTCAATATCTGATATAGCTGAGTAAATGCAGCACAGACATTGTTTTTTACTGGTCTAAATAAAATAAACTCTGTCTCTTTATTAGAAAGATATAGTTGCATCAGTTGTTGAATTTCAGGACACTTAAATTTAATTATCCGCAATACCTCGCTAATTGCAGCAGCAACATCTTGTGCACTCCCCAGAGCATGTTCTTGAGATGCCTCTGAATTACCAGCATGTAATTTTTCCTTTTCTAATAATTTCAAAATTGGATGTATCAATAAAAATGTTGCATGCTGTATGAGATGTTGACAAGCATATTTTAATGTATTATCCACATGCTTCCTTGAGTCTACTAGCTGCTCCTTCATTTGTGGTGCACCTTCTAATAAAAATTCTAACAGTGCATTATTTGACAATGTAAAAAGTCTTGAACTTTTTTCTAGTAAACCAAATGCTGCTGTCTTAACTTTAGAGAAGTCCAAGCTGTATTCTTTAATAGTAAAATCCACCTGAAATGGTGCAATTTGTTCACGTAATATGAGCAAATGTTTTATTTGAAAAAGTTGTGCATCTAAGGATGTTGCCCTTTTTTCAATCTCTTGGCTTGCAGTTTCTATACTGTTAACACAAAGTAATATTGCTTCCTGACTTAGAGACTGAAAAACAGATCTATCCACACATCTGTATAATCTTGATAGACACACTAATGTCCTACGGACAGTAGGGTACCACATTCCATGAAGATCTGCTGGTGAATTGCCTATATGTGATTTTTGATAAATAGAGTCCATTTCTATGTGATTTCTGGACACAGATTCTGCAATGTTATCATCATTAGATGAAATAGATATTTTTTTCATTTTTGTTTGCCAAGTCTCTTCTCTGATTGATTCTGCTATGTCTTCCATCATTTTTAATTTCTCTGGATATGCTAAATCACCAGGTGATGGATTATAACTTGCAACATCAGAGTGCAAATAAAGATGTGCACGAAATACAAGCCTCTCTTGTACATCATGTAATAATTGTAAACAAATATTTCCAAAACCTTCCAAAGGTTCAAAATTATTTTGAACATGTTCATCTAACATTTCAATTCTTAAGATGCAACAAATTTCAGCTAATGTTTCCAGATGGTTAATATGGATTATAAATGGTCTCAGTGTATCATACAAGGAAGTACATAAACTTTCAAGATATGCTGTTAAACCATTAGTTCGCTTAGAGAAGAATTCATAAAATAATTTGTATTCATCCATTGATGCATGTAATAATAATGCACATGAATTTCTTACCAAACTGCAATGATCACCATTGTATTTTTCCTTTACAGACATTAGAGACTTTTGTACACTACTACCCAATACTAATCCCCTTTGACTCCAATAATATTGATGGCACTCTGATAATAAGCTATCATACTCCTGTCTTTTATAAGACTTTGATTCAATTTGTTCTATAACTGGTCTGGCTTTTGACAAAATAGTTTGAAATCTTCCATAAAAAAGAGCCAAGGCTGCATCTGCATTATCCTGGGAATCATCATTCTCTCTCAAATTTAAAATACTTTCTGTTGTTTTGCTAAACAAATTAAAAATATAATTTTGTATCATAGATATTGCCTTAGATTGACAATGTTTATATTTGATTAAATAAGTGTTGCTTTCTTTAAATGAGGGATTATTTTGCACAAAATCTATATTTCTATCAATTTTATCTAGTATATTAAAGAACATTTCACTGTTCACTGATAATGTAGGTGCTTCAAGTTTCTCCATCATTACATCAATGTCCTTAAAATACTTCACATATTCTGTGATGTTTTCTATTGTAGAATTTAGCTTCCGTTGATCAGAGTCAAGTTGCTCACTGGCATCATAAAGGGACATAGTCTTATCAGAAACTTCTGAATATTGTTTAAACAACATGGTGAAATCTTCTAATGCTTCTTCTATTTGAATGCAAAGTTCGCGACATTCTTGTTGCCTAGCTTGAAGTTCATTAAGGTACAACATGTATTTTACATCTTTTTTGTCCATACACTTTTTTTCTAATGTGGCATAATGTTCTAACAGATCTTGACAGCTTTCTATTTGTACTGATTTCTTAGTTTCTTCACTTGTGCATGTGGTATCACTTGCTTCTTCAGTCTTCACCTTGCTCTCAGGAAATAATTCTTCTTCTAAATTTAATAAACATTCTTTTTGATAATTGGTTAACGGTGCCAAGGAATCCTCTGACAGATCCCATTTGGTTAAGTTATTCGGAATGTTTTTCATTTTGGACATGATCCTCTGTCAGTGAAAATAAATGTTATGAGATGAACGCTTTTAAGAAAAGTGGTATGAGCGCGTATGTCACGCACATACCGTTTTAGAATATAAGTTAAAAAATTCACTTCAAAAAACTGACACCGCAGCAATTACGAATCATAATCGTGAAGTTAAAGCAGGTTTGTCAATTACAGCACAGTGTGTCCATCGAATGAAATGCTAACTATATCAACGTGTAATAATTTTTTCAATAAATTTAAATCGTACATACTATCTGGTTGTTCAGATTAATCAAATGTATTACTCTAAATTGTTGCAATATTATATTGTAGGAAATAGGATATTTGAATTAAAATGAACAACTTTATGGGGAATTTTATTTATTCGCTAAACGTATATTGAAAAATGTTATATTCTACTGTATACGATAAATGTAAAATTAATCTATTAATTTTAGAATTCGATCATATAAATCTTTAATCAACATATTACATTAAATATTTAATTCTTTAAGTAAACAAATTCTTGTCGTATATTTGTAAATCAGATAAGTTAATTTCGTGGCGCACGCGCATCAAGCAGACGAAAACGTTACATTGAAAACAAGATCATATTTTCTTTTATGATTGTATTTAAGCCGTGAAGGTTTGTGTTAAATTATATCGTAAAATATTTCTGTGAT